AGAACTTTTGCCTACGTCCAGTTGTGATTTCTCTAGGTAGAGAAATCACCGCTCCTTTGATTAATAATAGAGATTACAGAACTTTTGCAAACCCTAGAACTAATCTCAAAACTCTTGGCTGTCTCTGGCTGTTTTTTCCCTCTTTCTCAAAATAAGCCTTGCCACACCCTATTTATAGATATAGAGTTGGCTTACATGTCCCAAGGCTGATTGAATTCCTATTCCTAAGTGGATTAGGAAATTACACTTATCCAAAACCAAATAGGCTTCTAGAAATCCAAACCTGAATTGAATAAGGAAAACTGAAATTCTTTCCTGATCCCCCTAGGACAAGAATACCTCTAATTTTCCTAAAGCAATCCTAAACCAACTAGGACATATTTGACGAGCCAAAATCCTAACAATTTTTATTTTTATTTTTTATGGTAGGTTCTCGATGCAAAACCAGAGAAGGGAATCAGAAATTGTAGACGAAAGTGGTCGTCTAGGGGCAGTGAACATTGCGACCATTATGGCAGGTAGAGTAACAGACATGATCCTTGGTGGGAATGCTGATTTTATGGCAAGGTTGAAGCTACGGGAGATGCTTATGCGAAGGTGTCATCTGAGCTTCAAGAATATTTTTAATTTTATTTATTTTGTCTGTAAAAGTTTACACCCTTGGACATCCAGTCTGGACTCCTAGCGCTTAACGTGTTGGAAACTTGGACTTAAATGTTCACCAGACATCGAGACCGCCTAGAAGATTGTTAGGAATAAGTCATAGAAAACAACTACTAGGACTTTAGCTCTTAAAAATTCAATAAACATCAAATATTATTTCGATATTGAACGTTTTACTTCCATTCTACTTTAGAGTATTGAGAATAGCTTGCATTAAAGGAAGAATCGATTGCCGCAGAGTTTATGGGAGTGTGTTGCATGGGGCCTTGTATTCTGGCAATTATAATGATTTATTTTCAAATACCTTGCAAGCTTTTGTTTTGCTTTTGTTTTTCAAAAGTTATCTATGGTTAAGCATGCATTTCATTCGCCTTATAATTTTCTTCCAGAGTTGTTAGGCAAACTGAAGGCGGTTATGTGAAAGTGAAACAAAATTCCCCAAGAGAAAACATGGAAGGTGTGTTTTTCTTTATGTGTCATACCATACAATTACAGAATGCTGAGTTTTTAAATTATCTTAGAAAACCTATTACTGTATAAATATATCTGAATGAAAGAAGATCACGTATTTATATTGTTGTAACTGCGAGAGATTTGACAAGTTGTATACATATATGAATCAATGTTTTCAAAGGCGAGGCGTCTTTAGAGAAAAATTATACGGAACTTCAAATTACAGTTGCGAAGAATTAGAGAGAAAAATAAAATGACTTACTTGAAGTCGAAAGACCAAGAGAATTCTTGAAATTGATGGAGATTATCTAGTAAGGGTAGAAATTAGGGTTGTACTATACAATATATATATATATATATATATATATATATATATATATATATATATATATATATATATATATATATATATATATATATATATATATATATATATATATATATATATATATATATATATATATATATATATATATATATATATATATATATATATATATATATATATATATATATATATATATATATATATATATATATATATATATATATATATATATATATATATATATATATATATATATATATATATATATATATATATATATATATATATATATATATATATATATATATATATATATATATATATATATATATATATATATATATATATATATATATATATATATATATATATATATATATATATATATATATATATATATATATATATATATATATATATATATATATATATATATATATATATATATATATATATATATACGTTGCGCCTTGCTCTGCCTCGCTGCGCCTTGAAACGCCTCCTCACGCGTTCCCCGCGCTAAACGTGCAACTCGCGAAACAAACGACGCCTTGAGGCGATTTGCTGCCGCCTCGCTCCGACACGCGCTCCGATGCTCGCGAAGGCATGCCTTTGAAAACACTGATATGAATGACCTTTTTATGCAAATTAATTCCTACTTTCTTTATGGAGGTTGCTTTATGCTTGAAACATCTTCTTTTTTTATGTCAATTCTGTGATTTATCTCCTTGTTTGATCTGGTTCTTAAAAGATTTCTAATGACAACATATTTCCTTGGCTTTAGAAATTAGATATTGCTACCATCTATGGAATGATTTGACACCAGACTCTTGCTGAGGAGCAAGTGCTGAAGTTACGAGGATTTGCCGGACTAGGTTCGTCTCCGTGGTCGTGAAGCATATTTGCAGAAAAAGGGTGAGTATAATAAGTTTTCGTAAAAAAACATTTCCAGATTGTTGGGGATTTTTAGATCTCAGCACACGTGGTCGTGGAGTGATGTTTCATTATAATTAGAGAGGGGGAAGCTTCTGCTAATTATGATTACGATTCTGCTAAAATGTGTGAGCCATGAATGAATACTCTGATAATCACAACTTGCTGCTGAGAAGGCTTGATAGTGATGTTCTGAGAGGCATATAATTCTGGTAATTAGTGTTCTGCGTGGTATCAGTTCCTGATATTTTAAAACTCTGTATCAGGATATTATCGAGGGCCAAGCACCAGGCTTGACGAAGGATGCTGAAAGGTTCTTAGTTTTGAGCAATATTGATCATCGCTCGTGGAAGGAGCACTTACAGGCACTTAAGTTGGTTCAGCAAGCTGTGGGATTAGTTGGATGCGCACAGAGGGATCCACTTATTGAATATAAGCTTGAAGGCTACAATCTTTTTCTTAGAGGTGATGGCACAGATAAGAAAAAATGTTATATATTCCATATACCAGGTGTGTATTAAATTAACACTTTTATCTTTTTAAATTCTGGTTTTGATTAAGGTGTTTTATTATTTTGGGTGTGAAGTGCCGAGTATGTTTTTGGGATTATTTTTGTTGAATGTGTTTATTAATTTATGGGTTTTACAAAACTTGGGGTAATCATATTCTGGGGGAAATTCCAAAGGTCTGTGTTTTTTTATTTTTTTGGCTGTCTTTCTAGTGATATTGGTAGGGTTTATAGTTTTACAATTTTGAGGGAAACAACAAAAGAAAGAAAGCAAATAGAACATCAAACATATGCTACATGAAGATATAATCTTTGATTATTTCCTAGATTTATACACTAATCTAATATGGCTAATAGTGGCTTTATTTGGAAGGAAATATTAAGTGGCTAATAGTGGCCTTATTGTCCTTCAAATGACCAATATCATCTAAATTATTTGGAACCACACCAAACACATGTAAAATTTTGCAACAAACTCTTCATATCCAAAACATGTCGTAGCTGACACACCATTCTTGTTTCCTAATTTATTTGGGTTAGAATTTTTGTTTTAACAAGTAATTTTAATCCTATTGTCTCTAGGGTTTAGTTTGCTATAAATACCCATCCCATGTAATTCATAATGCATATTTGGAGAATCGAATTATTGAGTAAAGTTTATTATTCCGAGATTGGAAAATTCTTGGTGTGAAGTGAAGGCAACTTTTTCCATCTACTCTCAGTTTTTTAAAATTTATTTACAACGTAAGTTTCCTAGTTGTTGCTATATTGAGATAATTTTGTTTTCTACTAACATAATAAGAATAATTATTTCTAATTCTCTTTCTTTTGTTTTTTGTTTTAAAAATTTATTGGTTTTCAGAAGATGATCAGATTAACAAGGACGTTGCCCTTACTCAAACAAACTGCGAGCATACGAAAAGATTACAATTTGCTTGGAAAGGAAATAAAAGTCATTTCTGAATCGAGGAAGGCCGGTGATAAAGAATTAAAGGAGAAATAAGACCAGTTTCAGGCAGCGGCGGAGGCCTTCAACGAGTCCTTCGCTAAGCTTAGAGCTGAGCATAAAATTGTTGTGGGGACCTTCCAAAAATTTAATCTCACCAAATCGCATAAGTCAACCGCATCAGCCGCATTCCCCACAACAATTTTATGCTCAGTTCTAAGCTTAGCGAAGGACTCGTTGAAGGCCTCCTCCGCCGCCTGAAACTGGTCTTGTTTCTCCTTTAATTCTTTATCACCGGCCTTCCTCGATTCAGACATGACTTTTATTTCCTTTCCAAGCAAGTTGTAATCTTTTCATATGCTCGCAGTTTGTTTGAGTAAGGGCCACGTCCTTGTTAATCTGATCATCTTCTGAAAACCAATAAATTTTTAAAACAAAAAACAAAAGAAAGAGAATTAGAAATAATTATTCTTATTATGTTAGTAGAAAACAAAATTATCTCAATATAGCAACAACTAGGAAACTTACGTTGTAAATAAATTTTAAAAAACTGAGAGTAGATGGAAAAAGTTGCCTTCACTTCACACCAAGAATTTTCCAATCTCGGAATAATAAACTTTACTCAATAATTCGATTCTCCAAATATGCATTATGAATTACATGGGATGGGTATTTATAGCAAACTAAACCCTAGAGACAATAGGATTAAAATTACTTGTTAAAACAAAAATTCTAACCCAAATAAATTAGGAAACAAGAATGGTGTGTCAGCTACGACATGTTTTGGATATGAAGAGTTTGTTGCAAAATTTTACATGTGTTTGGTGTGGTTCCAAATAATTTAGATGATATTGGTCATTTGAAGGACAATAAGGCCACTATTAGCCACTTAATATTTCCTTCCAAATAAAGCCACTATTAGCCATATTAGATTAGTGTATAAATCTAGGAAATAATCAAAGATTATATCTTCATAAAGGTCTTTAGTTTTCCTGTATTTGGCATGTAAAAAAGCAAAAATTTAACTTTTATTAATTTTTTTTAGAGAAAGATAATTGTGTGTTTAAATCTGTCACAGTTTTACTCAATTGGAAATTGCTTGCTTTAAAGGTATCCGTGTCATAATTATGTCGCGCCCTATTTGAGACTACTAAGGCAGGCGGTGGACTGTTTCATTAGGGAAGGGAAAATGGGGCCTAAGCACGGCAGATGTCGTACACTTGAGTGGTAAAGGAATCCAAGGTCTGTATTTGATACGTGTTATAACTCCGTTTCTTAATCTGTAAGTCATCTTCGTCTACGAAACAAAAAAACAGAGAGAATTAATCAATCTGTGTGTGTTGATTTTCGATTGCAATTTCAATATGAGGAATTAGGGATGAAGAAACAAGTGCTGCTGCAAGTGTGTTTCACTTTCACAAGGATTCTGAAAGTAATGGCTCCTCCTACTCCTACAATTCCAACTTCAAAAACTCTTGTTGTCGGTCCTCCAACACTGCTCACAAGAAGATTAATGGCTTCCAACTCCAACGGTGACATGGCCAAGAAGATATCCATATCCCCTATTTGCTCCTCATTCTCTTCCTACGGTGATCCCTGCCATGATATGTTTTTCCAGGTGACACAACCAGAAACACGCAGCGATGAAGAGACGACCCAGCAGCAGCAGCAGAACTAGGCGTCCCTTAACTACCTGAAGACACTGCTGCCGGTGGCCTGGTCCCATAATCCCCTAACCACCCTCAAGCTCATCTTCAATCTCCATGCCATTCCTAGCAGTGGAAAATGTTATCCGGAAGGCTTCTACACAGCTGTGTTTTGGCTCCACCAGAAGCACCCCAAGACGCTATTATGCAACCTCCCCTCCATGGCTGATTCGTTAGGGGCTTTGTATGTTCTTATCGAGATTCTCTACCGCCTTCTAGAACAAGACTAAGACGCTGCAAAGAGGCTCCACTGTGACCCAGACTATCAGTTGTTACACGACCGGGCAATGGATGTCTTCGTAGAGAGGTTGAAGTCTGATATTGACAAAATGAAGCAGCACAAGCTGAATTTGAAGCCATCGGATTATATAACTGACGGTGATGATGATGACGACGATGAAGATGATAAAGATGGTACTCTTGACGCCGCCGCTTATGCTGATCTTTTTGTTAGCGAGGCTGCAGGGTGTTGCGTTACCAAACAACCCCAAGACTCCCACGCTGCCCGCACCATTTTTCTGTGTGAAAGCATTGCGAGGAGGCTTTGCCCACCCAAATCAGACCAACCAAATCAATCTTATCAATCAGAAGAGTGGGAGCGGATCAGGAATGAGGTTTTGGCGCCCTTGAATAGGTACTGGAAGCGTCAAGGCATGTTTATTGGACGACAGCGCTCTGAAGTTAAGATGTATTTGGAGGAGGTGAAAAAAGCAGGAGGAAGAGGAGGCAATTTGAGTGGCCATGGCAGCATAATAAAGCATGATGCTATGCTCCCAAATGAGATCATACGCTATGTAGTAGAAGATGGGGATGTCAGGGAAGGGGCTGAGCTTCAGTGGAAGGCAATGGTGGAGGATATGTACCTAAAGCAGCAAAAGCAGGGGGAGGGTTTGGGAAAATTTAATAACTACTTGGCAGTGTGTCACATCAGCGATTACAATGGCCTAACGCGCTTGGCGGTGAGTTTGGGACTTTTGGTGTCTAAACTGAGTGAAGAGCCAGTATGGAAAGGAAATGTGATCAGTTCCGGTCATTTGCCGGATCAGCTGATGCTGCATTTGATACAAGGGGATGATCTCAAGTCCAAGTGCGAGTTTATGATGAGGAAATGCAGCAGGAACTTGGTATCCTTTGTTGATAAAAGGAAGGTATTGGATTTTATTCTGGAAGTGGCTACGAAAGAGAACTTGAAGGCAGAGCAGATGGTTAAGAAGGTGTTTGTGTTCGCTGACTACGGTGGATATGTTGGGGGTACATCCTGGAAGACTCTGTATGAGGCAAAACAGAGAGAGTTTGAAGAGAAAGGGTATGGGGATGATGCAGTGCCTCACATTTTGCATTGGGATATTTCGTACCAGAAGATGCCTCGTATAGAAGAACATCATCCAGGGGTGACGCTAATGAGTGGCGTCTCTGACAATTTGGTCAAGTCCTTCTTGAACAACTGTGAGGAAATTGGCCCGCACCATCTGATGGAAGCAGCCATTGCTGACAAAGCGTATCAAGCTCTCACTGTGGTCGACTGAGCTTCGAGCGTTGATGATCTAATTAATCTGATGATTCATCATCTCTCCATCATGAATTAGCAGTATCTTTAATTTAGTTTTGTTTCACTTTTGCACTAATATCTTAGCCTAGCCAGTTCTTAGATAGATATATGTTTTAGATTCCTGATCACATTTGAAATCATCATCATGCATATCATTTGTTTATTTAATTTTAAAGTTGAGTTTTTTTTTTAATTTTTTGTAGGGGTTATACTTTTGCAATTTTGTGTGAAAGAACCAAAGAAATAAAGAAAAGCTAATAGAAAATTAAACATATATACGCCATTGAAGCAATCCTAGCCGACATGTGCATCCTTCACCATGTAACTTTGTGGCCACTTCCAATGCCTTCTAACAGGACCCGCCCCGAATTTCTCGGAACCCGAGACGAATCCTGTGGAATTCCCAACATCACCCCGATGTCAGGCCCATTCACTGAAACTATATCCTCCTTTCCCAAAAAGGATTAAGGGCACGAGACTTCCTACCGAAATTTCAGCAAAGTCTCCTTTGTAAATTGAACATTCCCCAAATTTCAACCTACGCAAAATTCACATTTTAATACCCCAACAGGCAGCACGCAAAATATAATCTCATGCAATTCATAAAATCGGCCTCCGGCCTTCAGAAAATTCGAAACAGAACCAACAATGTTCTCAAGTCGGATAAAGCATAAACAATGCAATTAATGACCTCAATCAACTTTACAAATAACCCAGAATTCATTAATTCGGATTCAACTCCAATAACCACAACAAAATCCATTCACAAAAAACTCAGAATCGTTCAAACCTTTTTAAACACAATAATATTCCGCGGCTGCACCTAGGTGAACCCCAGGCTGCCTACGTACCCTTGGACAAGGGATCAAGCCACACGTAGTTCTCTGTCTTTTCTTTAAATCACACTCACCAAACACAATCTTTTTCAAACAACTTTCTACTAATCACATAATACCCCCATACGTCGGAACATCCAAAGCCACGTATGGGGTCCGTCACACGCCGGAGACCCTCTAACGACACGTGTGACCTAACAATTACATAATACCCCATACGCCGGAACATCCAAAGCCACGTATGGGGTCCGTCACACGCTGGAGACTCTCCAACGACATGTGTGACCTAACAATCACAAAATACCCCATACGCCAGAACATCCAAAGCCACGTATGGGGTCCGTCACACGCCGGAGACTCTCCAACGACATGTGTGACCTAACAATCATAAAATACCCCATACGCCGGAACATCCAAAGCCACGTATGGGGTCCGTCACACACCGGAGACTCTCCAAACTGTAGAGACCAAAAACCTCTCAAACATAAAACTCGTAACCGGGGAAGTACCTAAGATAGTGCTTTCTCAACTATTATATATATAAACTCAAGACACTCGAATATGTCAAACCCACATATATCACTAATACTTTACAAAAATAAAGAATTCAACTATTAACTATAAACGGAATATAAATAAACCATTAAATTCAAAAGTATAAGATTTCCATCACAAAACCATAAAAATAAACTCAGACCCACATAATCAAATGACGGTAAGACTCGTCCAAAAAGGGACGTTCTAGTACTCCTCGAAGAGTTAAACTACCTCGGAAGACTCACGGTCAACTGAGGGTCAAACAGCTCAATCTTGGTCAACCGGGCCCGCAGGACCCACGACCTCCATTTTACGAGCCAAAAGTTCCTATCGGTTCCACAAGGTTTAGGAAACATGTCCTACAAGTTTGGTTCAGATCGGACGGTCGGATCGCTCACGATCGCACGATCGGACGGTTATCGTAAAACACAAACTTTAAGTTATTGAATCGGAACATCCGGGGCTCCGATTCACGATCCGTCGAATCCTACATGATCCTAGGAATACCTAGATCAACATAAATTAATTTGGAAGTGATCCAACGGTTCTAACATATCAAACCCGGATAACACACGGTATGTCCGTTCGGGGTTCAAACGTTATCCGAATTGAGATCCGCGAATTCCTACGCGCTCGTGACAACTAGGAGATCGCATTGGGACATAAAGCCCCTCTGCCAGTGAGTGGGTGTCCCAAGCGATAATGTTTCACAGGAAAAACTCAGAATCACGGCTCAAGACTCCTACCCTAGGTAATACCCCTAATTTGGAGTCACTTTTGTTCTTAGACATACCCCAAAAAGTCGACGGAAGTGGCTGAAAACGGAGGTCGAAACCGGCAGATTTTTCAACTCGAAAATCGACTTGCCTACGCTAAAAATTGAAGCAATCCTACCCAACCATCAGCTAGAGCTCGAGGAATAGATGGATTTCCATACCTGGATCGCCAAAAATGGCGGCCGGACGACGGAGAACGGAGGCGGCAAAGTTTCTGTCAAAACCGGCGCATTTCTCTTCGTTTTCCGGCGAAATCACAGCGGTTGGCGGCGGGGCCTGGCTGGGGTTGGAAGAGGACGGCGGCCCGGTCATTTTGGTACCGGCCCCGTTAACTTTGGTGGCCGGATGCGGTGGTGGCGGCCCAAAATCAGCTCGGATGAACAGTGCCAGGGGGGGTCGGGCACAGAGGGAAGAGAAGAGAGGGAAGAAGAAGAAGAAAAAAGAAAAAAAATAAAACTGCCCGGTTACTGTAGCACGATACTGTTGTTACAGTAACAATTTTTAAAAAAAATTCCATATACGTCCCTTTCGTTTTCAGACTTTTCCTCCTTCGTTACAAATCGGAATTGGGCATGTCACATGTCTACGAACTCGTATCGACGAGCTCTACGCAACGGTACCACTCATTTTTCCAAAATCCTTACGGATTAAAAAGTGACCAAAATACCCCTATCCCCAAGGGTAAAATTGTAATTTCTTAATCTGATTAATTAAATAATTAATTGGATATAAAAATTAGGGTCGGGGTGTTACACCTTCTTCCCTATGTTTTTTCTTAATTGAGTCTGGTGTGGAGTCATGCATATGTGCCTCAGTGCCTGGCATTGTGGCACCTTCTACTACATGCATATATATATCTTCGCAGAAAATGCTTACAATGTAGAAAACAGGGAAGTTAAATTACAAATTACACGCAGAAAATATCGTGGGATTTGCACATGAGTTGAAATTCCATGATAATAGGCGAAATTGTACAATTCCCATACGAGAGGGAATTTCATTTTCTACCCGCCAAATCTGCTCAATAAAATATCAGGAATAACACGTCTTCTTCAAAGAGAACAAGCCTGCGAGCCCTATTTGATGGGTATTCGTCTAATGGTGTTCTGTTGAGTTTTGATGGTGAGTTTCAATTTTCAATTTCTTTCCTTGTCGTTGGCATCTTTTTTGTCTGCTATACTGATTGTTTTTATCACTGGAACCAGGGTTTATTCTATCTGCCTCATCTCTGCTTTTATTTTATTTCTCCTCTTTGCCTTTCAATATGACAAGAATATTCGCTCTTCCAATCAGTGTAAGAGTCTCAACTATCCAGACTCATCTTTCTCTGCTCTTCCCATGGCTATACTTGCTAATTTTGAGTTATCTATTTCTCCTTTTTCAGTTAATTGAATTTTTTTTTTTCACATGATAATAATTCTCTGTTGTTCTCCTTGTGCCTTGGCCCTGCTATGTGCTTGGTTGTTGAGTTTGTTGTGGTTTGGTTCCTTTTTGGTATCTTGCTGGCCTCTTTTTTGAGGTGTGTTGATCGAATTGCAGTTGAATAAAAAAATTTGCATACTTGTCATTTATAAATAATTATATTGAAATTTTTTGTATGATCTATAAATAATTATATTGCAGTGATGTTGGTACTGCTGCATAAAAGGGAAAAATTGAAAGAGTTTTTGTAGATTATGATTCATTGTGTAAGCTACTTTTTATAGTACATGCTGTATAATACTAACTAGCATCTCTTATATGAAAGTTCAATATCAAGACTAACACAGAAAAGTAATCCTCAGAGAGACAAAAATAGAGAAGAGCGTGTGTTCATTAATCAGCTTGATAAGTTGAGTTCCAAGTCATATATTCTTTTAGTTTAAGCAGATTACTTACATAATAAAATTATACACATATAAACAAGCTTGGCTGGTGATGATGTAGATAACTTTTTGGCCCGTTTAAGTCGCAAGCGTGCTAGATTCGAAGAACAAAAAAATGAGAAGAAAATGACAATTATTCTTAGTACCAGTACATCTATCATCGCCATTGTTGTATCATGGTATAAGGAAAATTATTTGGTTAAAGAGCCTTCACGTGATTGGGATGAAGAAAGGCAATGTCGTTTGAATCGTTTGTATAATGGGAAGGAGGTTGATTGTATTGAACAACCATATTCTTGTTATAATGTTACCACTTTATTTGTTTTTTTCTTCTTCTATGCATTCTACCTCTCATCTCAATTCGTGTTGCATCTCTGGAAATTGATGTTCTTGAAATTAATGAATTAATTAACCTGTACAGTTGCCAAAACTTTGTGCGATGACTGGCACTCCAGCAACTGAAAGCACAGAATATACAAGCCTAAAGTTTCAATTGTGCCAACAAATAAGCCTATGATTAGAAAGGTATGCTATACTGTTCTAGCGTGCAGTTATAAAATGGTGATACTAGACTATAGAAATTGTACCACGAATATTCACTCTTATTTCCATTTCTCATATATATGTATATAAGTGGTTGAATAATTAGGTTTGCTTACCCTGTATAAAAAATATAAGTAGATTTGCATAAGGGGTGATGGTTTATTTTACTATGATTATGTACAATGCCTTTCAAGTTTCTTATCATCTCTTCAATCTCTTTCTCAGAATGAGTCCGTTGTAGTTTTCAGGGCAACTACAGTAAAATGGCGGGCAGTTGTAGTAGAGATTTCTAGAATGCACAAGACAGGTCGTCCTGTACTTGTTGGCACAGCTAGTGTTAAGCAGAGTGACTCGTTGTCTGAGAAGTTGCAAGAAGGGAATTCCCCATGACTTGTGGTCTCCTCAGTTGTTACACGACCGGGCAATGGATGTCTTCGTGGAGCGGTTGAAGTCTGATTTTGAAAAAATGAAGCAGCACAAGCTGGATTTGAAGCCATCAGATTATATAACTGACGGTGATGATGAAGATGATAAATATGGTACTCTTGACACTGACGCTTATGCCGATCTTTTTGTTAGCGAGGCTGCAGGGTGCTGCGTTACCAAACAACCCTAGGACTCCCTCGCTGCCCACGCCATTTTGCTGTGTGAAAGCGAGGAGGCTTTGCCCACCCAAATCAATCTTATCAATCAGAAGAGTGGGAGTGGCTTAGGAATGAGGTTTTGGTGCCCTTGAACAGGTACTGGAAGCGTCAAGGCATGTTTATTTGACGACAGCGCTCTGAAGTTAAGATGTATTTGGAGGAGGTGAAAAAAGCAGGAGGAAGAGGAGGCAATTTGAGTGGTCATGGCGGCATAATAAAGCCAGATGCTATGCTCCCAAATGAGATCATACGCCATGTAGTAGAAAATGGGTATGTAGTAGAATATGAGGATGTCAGGGAAGGGGCTGAGCTTCAGTGGAAGGCAATGGTGGAGGATATGTACCTAAAGCAGCAGCAGCAGCAAAAGCAGGGGGAGGGTTTGGGAAAATTTAAAAACTGCTTGGCATTGTGTCACATCAGGGATTACAATGACCCAACGCGCTTGACGGTGAGTTTGGGACTTCTGGTGTCTGAACTTACTGAAGAGCCAGCATGAAAGGAAATGTGATCAGTTCCGGTCATTTGCCGGATCAGCTGATGCTGCATTCGATACAAGGGGATGATCTCAAGTCCAAGTGCGAGTTGATGATGAGGACATGCAACAGGAACTTGGTATCTTTTGCTGATAATTGGCAGATATGGGATTTTATTCTGGAAGGTGGCTACGAAAGAGAACTTGAAGGCAGAGCAGATGGTTAAGAAGTGGCTAATTATTCTGATGATTCATCATCTCTCTATCATGAATTAGTACCTTGGCTTTAGAAATTAGATATTGCTACCAGCTATGGAATGATTTGACACCAGACTTGCTGAGGAGCAAGTGTTCAAGTTACGAGGATTTGCAGGACTAGCTTAGCCTCCGTGGTCGTGAAGCATATTTGCAGAAAAGGGTCAGTAGTATAATAAGTTTTCGCAAGAAGACATTTCCAGATTGTTGGAGATTTTTAGATCTCAGCACACGTGGAGTGATGTTTTTCATTATAATTAGAGGGCGGAAGCTTCTGCTAATTATGATTACGATTCTGCTGAAATGTGTGAGCCATGAATGAAAACCCTTTGAGAAGTTAGTTTTGTCACCATTGCTGACTGTAAAGTTGAATATGTATAAAAGTTGGTTCAGCAAGCTGGGGGATTACGTGGTTGAGCATGCGTTATAAAAAGCCTAGGAATCTACTATAGCGTTATACAATAAAATAAAATAAAGGAAAATTTGCGTAAATGTCATCTGAATTTTTAGTCATGTGTGTGATCATTACCACCTGAACTTTTAATTTTTATTTTTAAACACCTAAACTTTGTAAAGTGTTGCAATTCACCACCTACGTCTAATTCTTTTAAAATTTTCATTAAATTTAAGTGCATTTCCGTCAATGAATTATAACTAAAAATAATAAATAAAATAACAGGAAAAGAAATAAGAAAGTTAACCTTAGGATGGGCTTCCTTGCCCCCATCGATCCTGATTATGTTTGGTCTGCTCTGGATGTATTGGACACTCCTCTCCATTTGTCGCCCAACTTTCATTCAAATGAAATGAAGGATGAAAAGTCTTTGAAATGCAAACTTCCATTGAAATGCAGGATGAAAAGTCTTTGAAAAGAGAGAGATGAAGGTTAGCTTTCTTTGAAAAAAAATATATTTTTAATTATAATGAATTGACGGAAATGCTCATAAATTTAGCGGAAATTTTAATATAATTAGACATAAGTGACGGATTGTAACACTTTACATAATTTAGATGATTAAAAATAAAAAATAAAAAATCAAGTGGTAATAACTAAAAATTAAAAATTCAGGTGGTAATAACGTATATGACTAAAAATTCAGATTGTATTTATGCAAATTTCTCTTACAACAAATACAAGCCCAAAAGAACAAAACAGTCCACGTGCTACCATAGTGGACAAACTGGTCCACTTAATAAATATGGACCTGATACATGTATTGTTTGGGATTAAAATTGAAGCAATTTACGAAGATTACCACTGCCCAAATTTACCCAAAAAACAATGGTTTATGCCAAAAGGCACCATTAAATATTAGGAGACGTGTCTGTAGCCCCGCCTGACGCGTAACCAACAAAGTGGGGCCAAGCCCACACAACAGCCGTAAAGCAAAGAGAAAGCACGGCCACATCCCCCCATATGAGAAAGTCAGAGACAAAGACGACATCGAATGCCACGTCATCACCACACGTGCAAATTCACTTCCTTAACCGCTACGAACTAAAAACGCACCGCTTCACTTCACTCTCTCTCCGTATATAAGCCACTCGTCGTCTCATTCCAAGCCCTCTCTCTCCTCCTCTCTCTCCCAGAGAAGAAGAAAACAGAAAAGAAGGAACAATAAAAAAAATAAAAAAAATCCCTCGAAAATAAATTTTCCATTAATTTTTTTTTTCTTCCTCCGAAAAATTAAATTCATTCCATATATAGAGCAAGAGAAACCCTACTCACCACTCTAAATACAATCGCTCGCAAACCCTAACCCTATACCTATTTTTCGATTTTTTTTCCTAATTTTTTAATTTATTTAATTATTTTTTGCAATGGCGGATGCGGTATCGGCACCGGCGGCTCAACCGGTATCCCCGGCGGCTCAACAGCCACCTGTGGTGGCTCCGGCCCCGACTCCGGCGGGTTTCGGCAACGTGTCGTTGTACGTGGGCGATCTGGACCCCACTGTCAACGAAGCGCAGCTGATCGATCTGTTCGGCCAAGTGGGCGGCGTCGTATCGGTTAGGGTTTGTAGGGATCAGAGCCGAATGCAATCGCTTGGCTACGCCTACGTCAATTATAGCAATACGCAAGAGGGTTCGTATTTTCCACCAAATCGCTTTTTGATCACTCTGTTTTCTGATTTTTGTAATTGGTGAATCTCATTAGTTTATTCTTAGTATTTGTTTTTTGTTTTTATCGATGTGTTTGGGATTTTTGTTGGAATAATAAAAATGGTTCTGTGATCGCATTGTTTATTTTGGCCATTAGAAAAATGCAGACTTTTGAAAATAATATTTTATTTTGTCCTTTCTTGGTTGCTACGCAACAGAGGAAGGAAGCATTGGTAAACAGAGTGGTGCAGGAAAAAACAGAGTGTTTGGCTTTTTTAAGGATTTAATGGATTCTGAATCTGTTGTGCACTTGTATATTACTAATGAAATTATTGAAAATATTAATGTCGACCATGTTTATAAAAGAAATTATTTCTGTCTGGGAATTAATATGTGTAATGTTGGCTTTATTTGGTTTCAAGTTTGCGTTGTATGCCTCGTTTTTAGTTCACCGTCTTTCTGTTTCTGTGTTTTATTTTTAGTTCTGCAATGGACTAACTTGATAGGGAATTCATCGATGCTTTGTTAATTTTATTTTAAGGAATATACTGAATGTGCCTATGCAAGCACATTTATGTGTTATATTGTGCAATTGAGAATGGAATACTTAGCGAAGAGCTTTAGCAATTGCAGTACTTGTTATTTGTTTATCTGTGATGTATGAAATTTCTAGTTCCTGACTTTGATTTTGATTTTCAACTTTTGCAGCTGCTAATGCCCTGGAGATTTTGAATTTCGCTCCTATCAATGGGAAACCCATTAGGATTATGTATTCCCATCGTGATCCAAGTATTCGGAAGAGCGGAAGGGCAAATGTCTTTATCAAGAACCTGGACAAATCTATTGATAACAAGGCGTTGCTTGACACTTTTGCTTCCTTTGGCACTGTACTTTCTTGCAAGGTTGCAATTGATGGCCATGGTCAATCGAAAGGGTATGGTTTTGTACAGTATGACAAGGACGAATCTGCACAGCAAGCAATCAAACGGCTGAATTCGATGCTGATAAATGGTAAACAGGTGTATGTTGGACTGTTTCAAAGAGGCCAGGAAAGGAATCGGCCAAATGGATCACCACATTTCACTAATGTTTATGTGAAAAATTTGTCTGAGACAACTACAGATGACGACCTCAAGAAACTTTTTGCCGAGCATGGTAACATAACTAGTGCAGTTGTTATGAGGGATGCTGCTGGAAAGTCTCGATGTTTTGGTTTTGTTAACTTCGAGAAGCCAGACGCAGCAGCTGCTGCAATTGATAAGTTGAATGGGACCACCTTTAGTGGTGACAAGGTTTTGTTTGTTGGGAGGGCTCAAAGGAAATCAGAGAGGGAGGCGGAGTTGAGAGCTAAGTTTGAACAGGAAAGACTCAGTAGATTTGAGAAGCTACAAGGTGCTAACTTATATCTGAAAAATCTTGATGACACAATAACTGATGAAAAACTAAAGGAGCTATTTTCTGAATTTGGAACAATAACATCATGCAAGGTATATCTTATTTCAACTGTACTACTGGTTTGTTTTTCCTGCTTATATCTCCTTTGCAGGTTTTTTTTAAACATTAGCTACAGTTATCATTTGGAACCTCAAGGTAACCAAGATTTTAAAAAAAAACGAAGCATTGTTAATTTTCTTTTTTTTTTCAAGGTCATGCTTGATCACCAAGGGACAAGCAAGGGTTCTGGATTTGTTGCCTTCTCTACTCCAGAGGAAGCCAATAAAGCTGTAAGCTATTGATATGTTAAATCCTTGGCATATTCCATAATGCACCTTTTGCCCCCCTTTTTGTGTGTGTTATGTATGCATGCATAATATCTCTTTTTCCCTTCTTCAGTTGACTGAAATGAATGGTAAGATGCTTGGACGGAAGCCACTGTACGTTGCTGTAGCCCAACGCAAAGAAGAGAGAAAGGCTCGATTACAGGTAGTTTTCTTAATTGGTTTTTGGAAACTGTAATCTCTTGGTAATATTGGATTATGCATGTAGGTTCTCATGAGGACTTTTAACTGTGTAATTTTACATGCCACCAATATGTAGTATTGCTGTATAGTTTCAAGGCTTTTGATTACCAAGGAAATGTGGGTGTGTATGTACTTATTGAGTCTGATAGTATTTTACATTTAGTGTGTGCTTTATAGAAAGAGTTGGTTTCCTTTTCTGCAGCTGGTTAATTCCAATTTACAGCGCAGGAATGCCATCCTATGTCTAGCTGTTTTGTTCAGGGCTAGAAGTCCGTTGATTTAGTCTGAGCATTTACATTTTTTTTTCTACTAGCTCTGGTGAACCCAGATATTGGTCAGTCTGCATGGGTTCTCTTCTTATTTTGCTTCTCGGTTATCACTCATTCTCATTATTCCAACGAAGCATTACAAAGGTGACCTTTCTCATTTGTTTCAGGCACGCTTTGCCCAAATCCGAGCACCAGGTGGAATGACACCATTGCCATCGGGAATTCCTGGATATCATCCTGGGGCACCTAGGCTTGCCCCTCAACAACTTTATTTTGGTCAAGGTACTCCTGGCCTTCTTCCCCCACAGCCTGCAGGTTATGGCTTCCAGCAGCAGCTCTTGCCTGGTATGCGCCCAGGTGTTGCTCCAAACTTTATTATGCCATACCACCTTCAGAGGCAAGGTCAACATGGGCAGCGAATGGGGGTACGGCGAGGTGGGAACTTTCAACAGGTGCAGCAGCAGCAGCAGCAGGTGCAATAATTTCCTGATTTAGCTTAGCAGCCATCAATGTTATGTGTTTGCGTAATTTAATTATAATGACAGTATTATGTGAGTTAGCAATAGGTATAACTATGCCACCTGCTCCATTGCCATTATTAACTTTATTTTGAAATTTCACTCTGGGTGTGCTATTACTTTTCTGTTTTTTTCTTTCAGCTACTGCACCGTAACTCCAACCAAGGCTTGAGATACATGGGTAATGCACGGAATGGAGTGGATCCATCTGTCGCTCCTCAAGGTCTTGTGGGTCCAGTAATGCCTTTGCCCTTTGATGGTTCAGGGATGCCTGTGACTCCTAATGATAGCCAGCGTTCTGGGCCGTTGCCGATGTCAACACTTGCTTCAGCTTTAGCTTCTGCTACCCCAGAGAATCAGCGCTTGGTATGTTTTTTGTCCCTCTTATTATGCGCACAACTTATATTGATATTCCGTTTTTAAGGGTTGTGCATGATTTTATTCTAGACTTCTAGAGGGAAAGGAGAACACAAGAACAATATAATTGAAGTTATTCCACTGTCTTAAAACTTGCAGATGCTGGGTGAGCAGCTATATCCACTTGTTGAGCGTATTGAGCCGGAACACACTGCTAAGGTGACCGGGATGTTGCTGGAGATGGACCAAACGGAGGTTCTCCATCTTATTGAGTCTCCGGATGCCTTAAAGGATAAGGTAGCTGAGGCAATGGATGTCCTTCGTAAAGCTGCAACGAAGTCTGAAGTTGCTGATCAGCTTAACTCGTTGGATCTCAACGAGTGAATCTCTCCTTATTCATCACTAATTTTGCGCACTGGGTCCCTTTTTCGCTGGCCCAAATGACTTGCCAATTTTTTTGTGGACAAAAATGACTTGCCATTAGTACTGGGATTTTTAAGACAAGAATATTTTGCTACGATCTGGTTTATTTTGCCGGGTTTTATTTTATGTGGCAACTCAAATGCCTGAAACTTTTACGTTTTTAACTTTGCAGACCTAAGGTTGCTAGGATTTTGATCGGCATCTTTCATTTTTTATGGGCTTATTATGACATTTTTCTATTTAGGATTTGATTTGAGATTTTTGCTGGATTATATTTCTCTCTCTCTCTCTCTCTCTCTCTCACACACACACATTTTTCTTTATTTGTTGTATAGTACGGTTTTGGGATGGAAGATTTTGCCCTATTTGATCCCTTGCGACTTAATTGAAGTATTTGCAAAATTTATGTTGTGCCTACCAGGTTTAAAGCATAGTTGAGACAAACTGTGTTCCTTCACTTTTGGTCTGAGTAATGGGATTTCCTAATAATCACTTTAAAGCATCTCCAAGGGAGTATGCAAAAGCCTAGCCACATCAGCATTTTCCTCATCCAAGTAGGCAAAATATGTATATTCCCCTCAACAAGGTAATGTTGCCTACTTCAAAATGAATAGGTATATTGAGTACTACTTACTTTTTATCCTAAAATATAATATCATATCTCTCACCTACTTTTGTGTGAAATACAAAAGTAAATATAAAAGATGAGGGATCAACTTTTTCTATGAGGCAAATGGATACGCAATATGACACTTAGGTTGTTATATTACAATTTTGCCTACTTCCCTTGCATATTCCAATGGAAATACTCTTATTAGAGATAGATAATATTTAACAATGGGGCTTGCCCCGCCTTGTAACAAACAAAAAAAATATTTAACAATAGGTGCATCTCCAAGGATATAGGCAAAAAACTAGGCAAATCATATTTGATGTGCCACATAAGATTTTTCCTCTTCCAAGGGAGTAGGCAAAGGATACCTACTAGGTGCGGGCACGGTCCGGATTGGATCGGTTTCACCTAAAAACTGTGACCGAATCAATTACAAAATATAACAGTTTAGTGTGTGGTTCAATTCAGTTTTGAAAAAAGTCATGATGAAAACCGAATCAAACCAAACTAATTTAAGACCGTTTGGTTTGGCCAATTTGGGCCTAAGCCCAATTCTCCTTCCTTTTTTATTTTCTCAATATTGTTGGTCCAATTACAGCAAACAAATTCACAACTTGCTCTACTTGAATCATTTTCTAGAGTACGAAACCATCCTAAAGCTCAACATGTCAGAATTAAATTTCAATACCTAATATAGCTCAATTCAAATATACATATATAGTTATTATCTCAGTAAAGTATAAAATATTAATAAACAAATACACACATAAACAATCCGGTTTGATTTAGGGCGGTTTACAAAAGCTCAAAACCAAACCATATACGGTATGGTTTGGTTTTTAAACTGTTTGAATTTTTTTTAGTCATAACCAAATCAAACCGGTAATTATGGTTTGAATCGGCTAGTTTCATTAGTTTAGCCGGATCGATGCCCACCCCTACCTCTCCCAACAAGCCATTATTGCCTACTTCAAATGAAAGAGGTATATTGGGCCCATGTACTTGTTTATTATAAAATACAATTTCCTTTTTTTGTGTGGTAGTAATTTTTTTAAGAGGTAACTGAATAGGCAACATGCCACATCATTCTGTATAATACAATTTTGCCTATTTCATTTGCATACTCCCTTGGAGATGCTTAGTGGCTGCAGGGGTGGTTAGCATGAGATTTGTTAGAAAGTGTCCTATTCTAAGGACAAAAATGTCAATTTCTATGAGAGGTTATAATTTCTTTGAAATATATAGTTCTAGGATTTTGTATATATAGAAACCTTTCAACATTATGTGTTCATATAAAGAAACGTGTTCAATTTTATGTGTTTGGAATTTATGTCAACGAAGAAAGAGACTACAATAAGATTGCTCATATCAAATCCAAAATTGCAACCATAGACGTACTCTCAAACGTGCATTAATTTTTGTTACTTTTGGGGTGAGGTAATACAATCTTCAGTATGCTTGTGAAAACATTTGTAGAACTCTTCTTCTGATTCTTCATATTTAATTTGTTAACATCCCTAAGCACACATCCCATACGTATAACATTTATGTCATGCTTTCGATGGAAATTTTTGAGCAACTCACGTATACATTCAGTATGAATTACATCGATCGAAGAGGGTGGAAGAAGATGAGAGGGAAATGAAGGAGGGATCGAGGGAGATGGAGCATTATTTGCTCGCACTATAACTTGAATAGAGATCATCCATCCCAACATTAACACCTTAAGGACTCTAAAGACCTATGCATACACGGATACATGCTTTGCCCTTTTCCATAAATGGTTGTTTTAATCAGAAATTGATAGCAGATAACAAACACAATTCCCTTTCCATAAAGCGTTGTTTGAATCAGAAAACGATACTATGTTGCCATATCAAACTACAATTTAGTAATAAGAACCATATTTACCAATTGGCACTGATCTTTGTTCAAGATCAAGACCTATCCAGGTGCAAGAAATCAGGATGGATGTCATCTTCTACCGTCTCATCATCGTTTGCGAATACCGTTTCATAGTTTGTCACTGTCTGGTTGATTTCATTGCTCCGTTGGCCTGCAGTATCTGCATCTTCTCTCCTACTAATGCGTCGCAGGTCATAATCACCACTCTCATCTGGGGTTATGTAGTCATTCCATTTGGAAGCTCCACTAAGTATAGTCTTTGTTGCCTGACATGCTCTTGGTTCCAGCTCATCTCTCATTACAAATTCTCTCCATTTTGAAGTCTCCTTGGTGATTGCTAGCTCGCATTTCATCTGCTCCTCATCTGCCATTCATAATACATTAAAACAAATTCCTTAATTTGCTACACCTTAATTGGTGTTTAAAGTTTCACAATCCCTATCATTGCTGGACATCGAGAGAGGCTCATGTAGTCTAGTATTAGTTCTATTCGAAATCCACCAATCTGCAAAGCGGACACAACTTTGAAACTGGGGCTCCCCGCCAGCCGAACCCTACATACAAAGGTACCTTTGGGGGTTTTTTTTACCTCAGACCACATGGGAGCAAACCATGGGCCTGACTGTTCCAACTAAACCCTCGTTGGTAGTATTAGTTCTATTCTTTGCTAGCAAAGTTCATATTTCTTCTTTGAGAACTACAGTCAAGAAAATGCATCAGGTCATCCTACCTGAGCGTGAGTAGACTTGGAAACTTGTAAAATGGTTGAGGACTTGGAATGTGGACGAAAGTGTACATGATAGTCATGTGGAATGGAAAAAGCAATGAGTTCAAATGTTGTCAAATCGTAATTACTGTTTTTGTGAAGAAACAAAACTAAATTGCTTATAAGTTCCAATCTGGTTTTTGATTTTTACTTCTTGATGAGAAACTGCAAAACCAACAGATTAAGGGTTTGGGAAACTATTGACATACTATTAGTTCCTATTTCCAGGAAATAGTTGTAGCATACTATCAAAAAACTAGCAGCAGATATGTCATCGTCTTTATTATTGTATTAATCACAGCAAGAACATCTCCAGATCATTCAACTTCATTTTAGTATTTTCTTGACCAAAAACAAACTTAAGTTTAGTGTTTTCTGTTCCAAAAATTGTATCGTTTTTCATTTATTCTTAAGAAACATTTTGTTAGAATAAAGAATCAACAATGAAGACAAAAAAGAAGGCAGAACCTACAAGAAAGTAAGAAACCATATTAACAAATATACAAGTTTTAATTATCTTAGCCATTATCTCCAGGAAGTAACATTCAACTTTTGTATCCGTGTATCAATTTCAACAAACCACAAAGGGCCTTGATTTAACGGTTCCAATAGAATAGCGAAAACCCCGAAAACAAGAAGAACATCAAACAATGCGAATAAAGAAAAAAATGGAAAGCCATTTACCCCAAAGCAAGCTTGACGACAACACCACTACGTATTAGCATTTATACCACCAGATAAGAAGGTACAAGAAATAAGCCTAATTATCATGTAAAGAAACAAACAAATAGAACAAAGTTACCTGCTGGGGAGACAACATGTTTGTTGAAATTCCTCTTAGAGAAAACTGATTTGAGATTGTGAAGTTCATCTGCATCTCCTTTTCTTGTATCTGACCAACAGCCATATTTGTTGAGCTTTCGTTTCTTGGACAACTCTGCCGGAAACTCTGTTACAATCTCATGCTCAAAACCAACCCCTACATAAAAACCAATCAAACACGCAAATACATTAACATCCTCCTATAATCTTTTCCTCAATTTCAAATTTCAATCAAAACCCAATACCAACAATTACCTTCTTCATCTTCTTCTTGCTTCAAGTTGGTGCCCTGATCATCCTTAGAATCGAGGTATTCCGTCCAATCGGTTCCTCTCTTCTTTTGGGTCTTGTACGGACTAGTGGAAGAAGCAACTGCAGGCTGTTGCTGCTGCTGTTGTTGTTGTTGACGGGGCATGTTGGAGGACTGGACGAAGAGGCGGAGGTCTTTGGCCATGGGACCTTGAGCAAAGACTTGGCGTACAGACTGCTTTTGATTGCAGACTACGCATGTCCACTTGTTGCTTTTGCTGCTCTGCTTCCTCTGCTTCACCTACAATTTAATTTCCATTCATCACAAACAACGTCAACAAGATTCAGATTCAAATGCTCATATATATATATACCAACATATATTAGATGTATAGCAATTAATAGTATTACATACCTGCATGGTGGAGCATTGGCAGCACTGAACTGCAATGAAGATGGCGGACATTTTCTTTTCGCCCTCTCTCTCCCTCTCCGCTTTCGGCGTTCACAAGCAAATGCGGGATTTTGATATTTCTGAACATTCTGGAAGCGATCTATTATTTGGGCCTTGGTTTGGGCGCCAAATTTTGGGGTTTCGGGGATTTCATGGGATTTTAAATATTTTTTTTTTGGCAAAAGTCATTTTAGTCTCTGTAGTTTACCGTATTATCATTTTGGTCTCCATAATTTTAATTTTGTCAATTTTATCTTTATAATTTTAAATTTGTCACACTTCAATAACACGTTATAAAATTTACCAAATTCCTTCTAATTCTATCCAAAACTCCATACAACATACCCCTCTATATCAGCAATGCGTAGTTACAATATCACGAAATTGAAGTGAAATTTGGACACGTGCTAGAATTACGAAGATATCAAACTATAGGATTCAATTGCCCG